ATTAGTCATTTTCAGGATGTTAACATGGCTGGAGATAATATTCTCATGTTGCATGCTTTCTTTAGTGTTTTCTTCGACAGACCTGTAAGTGGGTTTAAGTAACGAAGCGATCTGAGGAGGCATGTGGCACCAAACTCTGTTTCCATCAGCAGGTGGCTCAAAGGCCTTGCCCCTGACAGAAAGAGCCCTGCAGTGCTGAACTGCTGCTGCCATCGTTGAGGGATTGCCATATAAAAAATGTTCAAGGAAGGCCAAGGATGGTTTAATTATGTTGTGATATTTAATTAGGTCACAGTTGTGTGTGTGTGTGTGCGCACCCCTGTTTAGGCGACCTTGATGTAACACTGTTTTTAATGTGTTATCGTCCAATGTGTTTATCGTCCAATGTGTGCAAACGATTTCTATGTTTCATTTCCTGTGGTTGGAATGAGCGGGGATTCGCACCGACAAAATAAATGATCCTGAAAACTATCAACACAGACTTGCGTTTGAATGATTTAGCAGAAACTGGTAATGCAGACATTTGTTGCTTGTTCATAATGAGCTTRCCAATTATTTTGAGCTTTTCCTGCAGGTAATGAAGCGCTAAACAGATGCCTTGCAGAAGTATGGCATTAAATCTAAAAGCATTTTCAGGCAATTGCTTTTCAGGCTGTTGAGCTCGGTCCAGAGTTAAATGGCCGACCACAGCATTGTTGTCAGTGTTTAGTCATTTAAACTCCCCCATCAAACAAACATCTTTACAAATCAGCTGGGGTTTATCATGGGGTGACCCAGAGAGACCTTTGGCTAGAATAAACACATACACTGGATTCATAGACCTTATTCTTTACTGAAACAAGTGCTATTATATATTACAAAACTTTGAAATTGATCTTCCATCTTACACAGAAATYCAGATATTTTAAATTGTCACTTGCAAAATAAACTGTTAAATTGTTAACCACAGGTAGCATGACTTTCTCCTTGAAAAGATGCAACTATAGTTGGAAGAAAACAACTTCTAGAGYTTTATTTTAATCATCTTCATTACTGACCAACAGTTCTGTGGAGTTCCATWTATATCTTTTACTGACGGACAGAGAAAAGTTGACTCTGAATAAATGCTCTAAATGTAAACAATCCATCAAAATATGTCGTCATAAGTGGATAAAAACAGTTATAAAATGGTTGACGAGGCTCTTTGTTAAATAGCTTATTTGTAATGTTTGCATCCTTAAACCAGCAGTACTCAGGTCACAAGAGACTGCAAGTTTTTTGTGGGTCATAAGCTGAAAAGTTTATGAGCCGCTGAAGGCTATCGTATGGTTTAAGATGCATTTTACCAAAAACAAGACAAAGTTATTGATCGTTACAACTGTTTATTTACCGTAAAWAAAACATTGGTATGTTTTATAACATGAATGCAGTTTTACTGATCAGGACTGATGCTGTGGCTTATAATAATTAAAATATGCATTTAGATTTTTGTCTTTCTGTGATGATGAATTTTACCACCATGAAAGTWCTGTGTAATTCTGTGTCCTGGTAGGTGTGCATGTTTATCTCTACACTGCATAAAAACATGAATATCCTAGAAGAAAATTGATGCTTTCGCTGCAGGAATTAAAAACGTATGATCACTGTCACAAAGCTCTGATCTGATGTGTGTGTAGGCCTGTCTGCTTACAGAACAGCACTGATTACAGACTGTACCAGGAGTTCAGGCCCTGAAACACTTTCTGCAGTCATTTCTCATTATTGCCCCATCTTCAGGATTAGACTCAGCAAACTAAAACAAAAGTCTCAGGCCTTTTTTTTACTTGTCCCTTCTATAAATAAATTTTCAGTAAGTGAACTGTATGGTTACAGTAAAACCATTCAGTCATCGTAGGCGTGGAGTTCCGATGTTATCAATATATGGATCAGTCCTTATGCCTCTACCTGAAAGTTGAATGCAGTGTGACTTGACCATTCAGAGTGCGATTGCTTCAAAAACATTGAATGTGCATCCAATTTAGAATCACAAATCAAAAAGACCTGGGTTGGATTTGAACAAACAGAAAACCTGATTTCTCACATTTAGACTGTCATTAAAACATCTGATATGGTCACTTTTGCCTGAAGTGTGAACAAAGCCTAAGAAGAGGCCTTGGATCGTTTTTAGAGCAACGTTATAACTACTGATGGAAAATTATTCTCTGGTATTATGTCTMTGTTATAGTAGAGACGCTTATATGCTGAGAGAACTGTATATAATTGCAAATTTAAATATTAAAGGGGCAATATCATGTAAAATCAACTTTTTTGAGTTTTACAAAGCCTTGCTTTGACTCATTCATGCATGTTTGAGAAATCCTGCAGTGTTTTTAGGAAGCCATGCTGAGGAGCAAAACAACAGGTGGGGACCACAAACACCTTTGGGGGCCAGAAACACCTCTGGGACGTGTCTTTAAGCCGAACTTCCTCATGGCAGAGCACCACACACCCACCCCGCCCATGACTGCTGCAGGCTGTCGCGTGAAACTGGAAGTGAAACTGAAACTGTCTGCTGAGCTCCTAACACTACCTCTCACTCAGTGAAGCTCTTTTCAGATTCAAAATACCTTTGAGGAATGTTTTCAGATGCCAAACTACATCATAGCGCACCCCCCACCCCCCACGTGCAAACCCCCCGCGCTGAAATGGGCGGGACAGAAGCGGAAGGTGATTCTTAAAGAGACAGAGGCCAATTTCAAGGTGTTTAGAAGAGGAAGTGATGAGAAGATAAGTTTATTTTCTATTTAAACATAAAACAGCATTTTAATAACAACTAAATGTGACATAGATACTTTATTATGGTATAATATTTAAATGTATGCCTCAGAAACACATAATATTGCCCCTTCAAAGGTGACATTCCCAGTTGTTGTTGCTACTTTCTGTGTTGATAACTTTTGAACCAAGAGATATTGCACATC